TATATGTTTATCTGCGAAATCGAGAGGGAAGATTGGGATGGGGGGGTCTCACACTTGAACCCCCAATTGCGGTGGTCCTTCTACACGTATACGACGCAAGATAGCGCGGGAAGGGGCCTTTTTGGGGCGGGGGGGGGGGGGGGGAAAGCAAAAACTGGCCGCACACAAGTTCCGTACAAAATCCTTCGTGTTTTAAACACCACTGACAGCCATCAACCATTCCACCCGACCCCGAACCGAAAACCCACCAGCATCAGCCCTCCCTCCCTCCCTCCCTCCCCCTCTTGCCTGTTCCTCCATGGCCAGGTTGAGCATGCTCATGAACTCCTCCTCCCCGTCGGCGCCCCAGTCGTACCCGTCATCCCCCTCTCCGAACTCGTCGAGCGGCCTGGGAGAGAGCAGCGATTGCTCCAAAGCCGCCGCCGCCGCCCCCGCTGCTGCTGCTGCCGCCGGTGGTGGTGCCTGCGCGCCTTGCGCCGGAGTAAGCAGGGGAGAAGAAGAAGAAGAACAAGGGGGGGGCACGCGGCCGAGAGTACCTGCCGGTGTTGCGGCGGCGGCGGCACCGCCGCCACCGCCGCCGCCCAGAAGCGGGTTGCTGTCGTTACCGCCGCCACCGTCGACACCGGCGGCAGAGGAGCTCCCTCTACCTCCTCGCGTCGCTCCTCCTCCTCCTCCTCCTCTCCCTCTGCCCCCCCGTGCTCCTCCACCGCCACCTCCTCGTCCACGCGTCGCTGCTGCTGATGCCGCCGAGGGAGCGCTTCTCTGTGCCCCGCGCTGCTGATGGAGATCGGCCGACGCCGGTGCCGATACCGCAGTGGCCGCGGCGGTGGCAGTCTTCGGTTGCGGAAGCCCTCCTCCAAACACGGCTGCCGCTCCCCTTCCCCCGGGCAGCACCCCCGCAGCCGCAGCCGCAGCCGCTGCCGCCTCCACCCCTGCCGCCTGCGTCCCAAGGGCCCCTTGCGTCGGTACTGGAAAGGCGAGGGGGTTCGACATCGGGGAAACGAAGGCGCCCTGAAGAGCCTGGCGTTGCTGCAAGGACATCATGAGCGGGTTGACGGTGCCCCCCCCCTGTGCAACACCACCGCCGGCCGCCGGCCCCCCGCCCATGCCCCATCGCCCACCGCCGCCGCCGGGGAGAAAAGTGCCGTCTCCAACCGAGCCGGAGGCCGCGCCGCCGAGCGCGAACGGTCCCCCGCCGGCAACGTTTATCATCAGCAACTGTTGCTGCTGCTGCTGCTGCTGTGGTCGCTGCTGCGCTTGGTGTTGCTGTCTGGCAAACAAGGCCGCCATTTGTTGTTGCTGCAGCTGGTTCACGACCTATTAGGACGGGAGCGGTAGACAATCAGCAACAGCAACAATAGTGGACGAGTCCACGTATCCATGTGGTGCCATGCCGGCTTCATGGCGAAAGGTCAGTTTGCCCGGAATTAAGACGGGGGGGGTACGGCACTAAAAACACTTCACGAGAAATCGACATCACCGGGGCACACACCAAAAAACGCTGCTGCTGCTGCACACCCTCACCGTCACACTAGCTGCGCCGCCGCCACCGCCGTTCACCCCGGCACCGCCAGCAGCAGCCCCGTCAACGTCGCCACTCGACCGCTGCTCGAGGTCCACCCCACCGCCGCCGCCGCGGCCGCCGCCGCCCGCGGCAGCCGCGGCCGTCGCCATCCGGTTCGCGGCCGAAGACGCCTCGAAGTTCTGCATCAGGGTGTTCGGCACCCCCCCGCTCTCGCCCCCCGACCCCGAACCCACGCCGTCGCCGCCGCTTGCCGCTTCAGCCTTGGCCTCCGCCGCCGCTGCTCCGCCCTTGGCTCCGTCTACTGAGGGAGTCGTCTCCCCGGACGCATTGTCCGGCGAGGTCGCGGTGGCAGCAGCGCTCGAGGAGGTGGAGCCGCCGGCGCTGACGGTGACCGCGCCGGCGGAAGCAGCGGCGCCGGCAGCAATGCTACCGCTGCTAATGCCACCGGTTGTTGTACCGGGACCACCGGACTTCATCGCATCGGTGTCGCCCTCGCCGCTGGAGGCGGCGGGGGCTGGTAAGCCAGACGACACGGGGCTGGACTTCGGGCTCGGTTGGGGCTGGTGCGGGCAACACATACATGGTGGAGAAACGGCGAGGCACCGAAAACAGAAAAAAAAAATGCGTCTTGGTTTGACGATCGATTGTTACATGAAAAAAAAACAAAAAAACTACGCCTTTCAAGGGAACGCCAGGGAGCCGCAGCAGCAGCAGCAGCAGCGGCGGCGGCGGCGGCGGCGGCGGCGGCGGCGTGCAAAAATGTACGCGTGAGCGCCCCCATCATGTATGTATACCTGCCAACCACACCGAACCGGTTTTCCATTGACGGGATGGTATGTAGACGGAAGTCGACACTACTGCTGCCGTGTCGCGATGCCACAAGGCGCGAGTGCAGCAAGATCCGCTTTCACGCCCCAAGCGGAGGAGCACCCAGCTATAACACTGTGCGTACCTGCGGCGCGGCGGCGGTTCCGACGGTCGAACCGAAAGAGAACACCCGCTGCTGCTGCTGCTGCTGCTGCTGCTGCTGCTGCTGCTGCTGGGCCTGCTGGTACTTGAGCATCTGCATCTGCCCCAAGTGCTGAAGCTGTAGCTGCTGTACCTGCGCGATGCATGTGGTACGAGGGTAAAGAGGCAGGGCTAAGGTTGAGGGTGGCCGCTTTGGGCTAAGCGGTAGGGGGCCCCGCAAGGCGCTGTGTTGTTGTTCTTGTCACGCAAACCACAAAGATAAAAGCTTGCGCCAACAAGACGATTGTCGGGGGAAAAAAACAAACTCGACGGCACCACTATCGTTGCTGTATAGGTTCAAGGACAACATGTACCACCTCCAACAATCAACACAGCTGCCCTCTTTTGACACCCCTGTCTACGATATCTACGATATCTACGATATCTACGATATCTACGATAAACGAGAATTCACCTCGCCAAAGAGAGGCGCCATCACCCTGAGCGAGTTCTTCTTTTCCACAGGAAGAAGAAAAAAACTAAAACTGTTGCCTGGGCAATGCACGACGTTCATCGAAACGACGCCCGCACATCAGTGTCGCAGTCGCATCCACAACAACAGTTCCAATCGCCCAGCCAACACCAACCAACGCTTCTGACCTGTTGCTGCGCTAGGAGCTGCTGCTGTTGGGCCTGCGCCTGCCCTTGAAGCGTCTGCATCGCGTGCATCAACTGAGTCTGATTAGGGGGGGGCGGGGCAAGTAGGGGGGGGGCGGGGCGTGGCGAACGAAAAACAGAGGAAGTGTGCTTAACATCACGCAAGGCAGTTGTCCGCAGATCTTGGACATGTGGTTGTGACTCCAATGTGGTTTTTAGAAACTGAAGCACGTACGTAACCGAGGCACGCTCCCGAAAAAATGTACCACCCTTCCCCCCCCCCCCCCCCCCCCCGTTTTCGGGGGAAGGGAAAGAGCCCCAAAAGGTTCGGT